TTCATTCAAATCCATTCAGTAGTTTTTGCATGAAAGATCATCAATCATCCAACCATCAATCCATCCAATTGTACAAATTTTCCCATTTATAATATCAATAACATTCGAATTTTAAATAATTAAACCAAGGAACATAAGGATCTCATATTTGGATAACCCACTCAAGTAGAGGAGTGCGCCGCCTATAAACATTTACTGTATAATCGAGGACAATTTAACATGTGTTTATTATTGCAAGCCTGTACATACAAAACGTATGTATACCACTCTACCAGTGATATACGATCTGCAATGTAGTTTTTCACGTGTTTTTATTTTGGTTAATAAATTGATGTCAACAGTTCGTTTTGGACAGGCATAAGTTACGGTACAGGACAAATTACGGGCATTAACGATGGTCACTTGTTTTCAACGAGTCCCTTTAATAAATCGTATGTTTACACGAATATACGATATGAAATACAGAGTAGCATAACAGAGTAGATTATATTAGTGATAAGACGGCCTTTTTTATATCAAATTGTTTGTAATTTTTTTCTTTATGCGTAAAATTGTATTAGATAAAAATTTTATACTTGATATTATATACAGAATACGTCATTTAATAATCCGTCGTGTGGTCCCAGCAGAGAATATGCCACCTTCTCTTTTCCTGTGGGTTTTGTAAAATGAGACTGTGGGGAATATAATGGTAGAGCAATAAGTAGTAGTGTCCCTCTTAAAGAACTACTAAAAGCCTAAATGCGGTTGACAACCCGCTTGCCAAGCATGGCAACTACCAGCAAAACTCCCTTTATATTAACAGATGATATGATGCTGATGGAATACTAATAACGTTGAATTTGCTTTCATGTATTCGACTATTTCTCTGCTAAATTGTCAGATATTGATACTTTAAAAAAAAATTCATATAAATATTAAAAAAGTTTTTAAAATTTTTTAAGTTCGTAAAATGTACCTACAAAAGAGCTGTAAGTACATATATTTTACGAACTTAAAAAAAATGTGGCACTACACTTAAACTATAAGTAAACATATACTGAAGTATAAATGATTTATACTTCAATAAATATAAAATAGTAAAAATAAATAGATAGAGTATAAATGAACGAGTGAATGAATGAAAGAGTGATAGAATGAATAATCGAATGATTTTTTTTACTAAAAATTGTTTTTTGCCAGTAGCAGATCTTAAAAAAAATTACATAATGCGTACAAACTCTACTGTCTCAATTTATTATAGACTCTATCTGATCATGAAAGGTCAATCTATAAATAATATTAAAAATTATAAACAACTAACAGGTGCAGATATAGAATCCCATTTTATTACCTACGTTTATGAGATGAATGAAGTTTTAAAATAGAACTGTGATTTGACTCATTTATACGTCAGTAGAAATCTCACTAGTTTATAATTCATCATAAGTGTACTACTTATGTGTTGGTAAGAAATAATCACGGCTTGCTGTGTGGTCCCGGCATAGAATGGGCTACTCCTTCCTTACTTATAAATGTCGTAAAAGGCGACTAAGGGAACTTAATAATATAAAAAAGGGAACTTAATAGTCGAGATATGAGTTAGCAGCGTCCCTATTGCTACATGACTTAGGACTAACTGCAGTTGCCATTCCGCTTGCCAAGCATGGCAATTACTGGCAAAACCCTCCTATTAGAAAAAGGCCTATATTCAGATATTCAGCAGTGGCCAATTAATGGCCATTGATCTGATGTGATGAAGTAGTAATTATGGATCAATTTATTTACTGATTTCTTTATTTTTCTTTGTGAAATTTTATATTTTTGTGATTAGAGCTAACAAATAATCATCATCACATCATGTTCTTACTCTTATCTTAATTATTATTTGAAGTCGACATAATATGTTTTTTTCTTCTATTCTTCTCTATTCGCAATCATTCCCGCATTCGCTCCTATAAACCAGAGGTGTCAAACTCAATTTTGCGGAGGGCCATATATTAAATTTTGGATTGGTAGGTGGGCCAGATTGAAAATAAAAAAAATGAACTGAATTATTATAACATTTTATTTGTTAAATTATATAAGTATATAATATAGGGTTGTTAAAAATCATATCAAATTTATAAAAGATGGTAGGTAATTATGTTGAGCTCGAGGGCCGGAAGCGGCCCACGGGCCGTATCTTTGACATGACTGAAAAAAAAAAAACATTTATTATTATTAACAACGGCATAACTCTTTAACAAACATTCATTGACAACTTGGAATATCTCTTAAGAGGCCATCTTACTAAGGAAATAACGTCACGGCATCTCATGTCAAACGTTATAGTTTTAATATTAGAAATTTTGTGACGATTAAAAGCAGCTGCTATTTTTTAAGATGAAAAAACTGCTTGATGCGAATTCCCGCGTTCTAAATTCATATAATGTGATTATTTTTAATATAATCCTCACTCATAATATATTATACTTATATAATATATCAATTGTACTAGTATAAATTTGAATGTGAGTGCGTTTGTTACCTCACAGCGTTACTTAACAGCTTCACTAATCACTATGAAATTTGAAGGATATAAGATTTTATCCCTGTTAATGTACATATCTCGGCTAGACGGACGAAAAAGCGGATAAAAACTAGTGTATCTGTAAATTATCTTGCCGTTAAAACTATTTTTGCAAATCAATATATATTTATATTAATATCTTTTCTAATTGTTTACTTTTAAAGTTTGATATGTAGATATACTAATAGTGGACATTACGACGAATTTATTTATTTTGTCTTCGTTACGACAATTGCAAAAATATTATTCAAGGTGTAAGAAGTATCACAAAACGCGCGTGGATCAAATAGCGTTCGGAGATTAACGACTAATATGAAAGGTTACAAAACTTCTGATAATAATAATAGTAGTCAATCATCGAGTATTGGTAGTCACACGCATACTAATGAATGCATGGAATTAAATAAAATAATTCTAATAAACTGGCAATTGTTATAATATCGATATTCTATTTGCAACGATAAAATATAACAAAACAAAAATTATATATTTTTGCTTTGTTATATTTTATCGTTGCAACTTACGTTACTTACTTTTAGCGAACTTCACAGATTTACCAATAGGCTTACCAAAATCCAAAAATAGAATATTACAATAACACAAATACACACATTAATGGATAAAAAAAAAATTAATTATATTATAAAACATTCAAAATGCAATTTTTAAAATTGATTAATAATAAATTTTTAAATTAACAATTAAAACTGCGTAATTTGCATTAAATAAATACGTTAATTCCCGTCTCTTATAAGACATGGTATATGTCTGAAATGATGACAACGAATACACGGTTTTTAAAATACTACATTTAAAATATTAATGGAACGTAGTTATACACAATGGCCGCTGGTAATTAATGCTCCTTTCCTTTCAGGGTTTGCTGGAAGAGAACTCTTACAGAGTTAAGCTCGCTTGTTGTACATCTTTATTTAATATATATTATATGTTTGTAATTTTTTTGTGTACAATAAAGTAAAAATAAATAAAATAGCTTTAGGAATTATTAAGAGAATGTGTCTTGATCACTTACTCCAATAAATAAATATTCATTCCTTGTTTCATTTAGTAAGACGGCCTCTTAAGTGATGACATTACGAATATAGTGTCGTTCAAACTTGGACATGTTTCAACAATTCAGTCTTGATTCAAAACGATATATTACCTCAAAGGAACAGGAATAGATCAGGCCATTAACCCCGGCTTTTTACTCGCGTAAGCGGCGTAAAGAAATGCATTTAGTTCAGAGACTAAAAATAATTCATGAGCGCTTCTCACCTGTGCCATGTTTAATCTATCTATTTAATATTAGTTTTTAGCCGCGACTTCGTTTGTTTGACGGGATAAAAAGTGACCAAGGGAAAGTAAAGAACGTATTGGAGAAGAGCATACCTTCTTCGTCTTATAAAGTGCATTTGTAGTGAATTTTACAATGTTCGGTTAACCAATTAAGACTTTAAGAGGTAACAAATAAAGATTACAATTAAATATCAGTAAGGGTATTGAATTCATGAATGAATTTAAACATTTTAGGAATTTAATACGTTAAAAAAAGGCGACTTTGATTGTTACAAAAGCAATATGGAACTTAGGCTAGAGTGAATATTATTAGTCATGAAAAGGTGATCAATATTAAGAAAATCGATTCAGATTTTATAATGATATCGCGTAACATAACTACATATGAAAAATTCAAGAAAGTCACATATTTTTGTAGATAAATACTGATTGTCGATAAACACAAAATTCTTGTTAAACAAATGTTATATAACTGCAATTATTTATATTGTTAATTTAACATATAGCATCATGACAACTTAGAAGAAATTCATGTATTTTATATATTTATTTATGTAATATATACCGTTATAAATACTTAGGTATACTTAATATGATTGTTTTCATTTAGTTTTGCGCCATATAGCTACCAATTTAGCCCTTTCTTTTCTCCTATACTTAAAGAAATTCTTTAAATGGTACAATAAATAATATATCATAACCTTTAGAATATCCTTAAATTACGTTATGAAATTAATTTATGTTTCAAATTTTAGTTTCCCAGACTAAGTATTAATTTTGGCTATGTGTTGATAGTCAATCAGGAGAAACAATTTTTCAAGTATACATATTATGATGATAATTAGGAGAACCAAAATAGACTATGTGTTTTAAAATTCAGAAATTATTTTTGACTAAAGAGAGATTTATTATTCTTGATATTGATGCAAAACTACATTTTAGCTTCAACTAGTACCAACTTATCAACATAATGTTCTTTTGATGCATTTTTGATTGCGTACTGCGAATTCTGAAAGGATAGGTATATATATATATATATATAATTTTAAAAATGAAATTAGCAATAAAAATGTTTAATAACAAAATAAAATGTTTACGCTTGTTATTATTGGAAAATTTATTTATTTATAAAAATATTACTTTGTTCCAGGTACAAGTAAAAGTGATATGTTGTGACACCGTGACAATGACAGCGAGCTAGTGTTGTGAAAGTGTCGATATCGGTAAAATGGCGAGACTGTTGCTGGTGTTTTTATTGCCAGCGCTCGCCGCGGCTGCAACATCACCCGGTGACGCTGACACGTGTAATCCGGACAAAATGACAGTTTATCGGATGGTGTTGCATACTTATTGGACCAGGGAAAAGTTTCCGAAGCATTACCCGGATTGGAGGCCGCCCGCTCAGTGGTCGAAAATTTATGGTAAGTATTTTTATTATATAATTCTCTGCTTTACACCGTGTTTTTTTAGTCTATAGACGATGAGTTTTAAAAGTTATTTATTATTATTCTCTGATGGAGTTTATTTGATATTCCAACTTCCATAATAATAATAAAATTTAAAATAAGAATATTGATCCAATAAAAATGATCATCGCCTTGCAAACTTTGCCCGTTAAAAAGTATATAAAATAAATTATAATTGCAAAATTGCTCTCATTCACAGCGAAGCACTTGAAAGTTCTGGCTTCGGGAATAAATTTACGGCATTGTGTGAATTTACTTGCAATAACAGCAATGAATAAATTGTTTTCGCATAAATTTACAATTTAAGTAGTTTTCAAACAAACTTCTCGGATGGAAATTATATACTTGACCGAAAATAATGATTCACTTAAATTTAATTAATTATTATCAATAAATAATACATGTATACGATGAATATATCGATATTTTTTTAAATTATTGTCGCACAGCTCTTAAATTGTAACCGCGGCCAGCGAGATAGCTTAGTAGCTTAGTAACTGGCATAGTAACTTTTCTTTAGTTTTTAATAAAAGGAAAAATTAATTATTTTGTAATAATATACATTGATATTATAGCAACTTAATTATAAGAACAAATTCTAATAACTAAAAAGACTTTTACATCATGTATCGGATATCCTTACGGTTTATCTGAAATTGAGGAGTCAATGGATGTAGGTGCTCGGGACCTTCCTTATGTCCTAGTCCTTCATACCTCTTAGTCTATGGAGGAGACCTTTGTTCTGCAGTGGAATGTACAAATAGAAGATGTACCGGATTGACTTCCGTGTATTTTAGTCGAGAAGCCTCAACTAGTTCGGAACTATCTGGAACCTTTAGTCATGAGCGGCCGTGACGCGAGAGCGTTCCTGATATTAACCCATTACTTCCCAAGCATCGATATAATAGGATGTTTTGGTTCTTATCTTTAAATTAAGGTCTTAGTACATTAAAAAAAAGATATAAAAAATAAAATTTTAAAAAATTTATCGCTACTTGCTGTTACCACCTGTCCTATAAATATGACAATGGGAATATATGGTCAGAAATTAAGAAAGATCACAATTATAAGACAATCAACTTTATTTTAAAACTATCCCAATTAAAATTAAAAAAAATGGAATTACATAAGATTACTTCGTTTGGTAAGGCATGAAACAATCGCTGCAAAGTGTTTTATCGCATTTTTCACGAAAAGTCAATAGTTTTTTTTTTACAACCTTGTCCTTGGCAATGCCGTTGTTTATCTCTCTTCATTATATTGTGGTCCAAATTATTAAATCTGATCGGTTGTAAAAGAATTTCAGAAGACCCCAAAGTAGGTTTACTTGCTCTTCTTTTTGATTTTTTGATCCAAGAAAAACAAACCCTTCTTTTTTTTACAAGACAGGGGGCAATCGAGCATGCGGCTCACCTGATAGTAAGTGACTACCGCTGCCTATGGTCACCCACAACATTAACGGCATTACAGGAGTGCTGCCGGCCTTTTAAAAAGGAATATGCTCTTTTCTTGAAGGTTATGATGTCGTATCGGTTCGGAAATACTGCTGCTGGAAGTTGATTCCAAAGAGTGGTTGTGCGTGGAAGAAAGTGCCTTGAAAAACGCACACCTTCGCGTGAAATCTAGTAGAGGATGTCTCATTTTTATTAACCTGGTTGTAAATAATCCATGTATTTACTAAGAACATATCTAGGACTCTGATTACTAGTGGCCAGTATCATTTCTTACCTCTGAATCGGATGGGATATTTAGAAATCAACCAATCATGTTTGTCAACACTTTCCATATTTTGGTTGGAATTGTGGATTAGTCTTGGCTGATTTACGATCACTTTAGCCTTTTCTGTCTTAGAATATCTATTAGTTTTCACAAAAGGTTCAAAAGTATTGAAATTAGTCAGACGACACACTACACTGTTGTCATGCCATTTCACGCATAACTTCATTATTTTTCTCAAAACGATGGTCAGAGTAAACTCGCGGTTTTTTTTTCATTTCTTGCTTTGTCATGATAGGTCATTTTTTTATTCCTATTGTCCCTCACTGTGCCCGTAACTCTAAACACTTGAGATTTCAAATTATTAATTAATTGTATGCTACTGAAAAAGTTATCGAGGTATATCACATGCGCGCTGGGATCCATATACACCTCAAGCAACTTTTACTACTCTTGAACCTAAACCTTCGCCATCGAAGGTTTGAGTATCTTTGCCTGTGTATAGCAAAAAGTTATAACAATAACCGTTGACTCCATATAAAGCCCAAAGCTTATATCCAAACCTTACTGGTTTGTCTTTTATAAATTGTTTGATTCCATGATGACCAAAGTATTTCACGATCATTTCATCAACAGCTAAATTGGTTTCAAATATCCCAAACTTACGTGATGATTCATTAGTTTTATCGATAAACGGGCAGATTTTAAAAGCTTTGTCCATGTTATCAATTTTTGAATTGTCATTAAAATGCAAATAGGATTTTATTTTATCAAAACGATTTCTTAACATTGCTCAATCAACAAATGGAATATGTACGTCTTCATCTCTATACCAATAAAGTTTGCTTTGAGGCAAGTGGTTATATGAAGAGAAAAATAAAATTCCTATAAAAACTTTCAATTCCTCAACTGTTAGATTGACCATGTTTCCGCGTTGAATAGTAAACACATGTTCCCAGTGTCATATTTATAGTACGGTTCATTTTGAAGTTATATAACATGTTTCTATATTTTTTTTTTTGTAACTGATTTTAGTTATTACATATTTAGTAAAGATAATAAAGTTGTTTTTATGCACTTTAAACTAAGTATTTTTTTTCGTTATACAATATATAAAATGAAAACTAATGCCCTTTTTAACTCACCAAAATTGATCAACTTTAAAAATATATATTAAAATGATGTAAATATATTTTACTACCAAAAAAAATTATTTTGATAGAAAAAATATATTAAAATACAAATTTCATCAGTAGCTATAGTATATAATGCATAGTTTGTTGAAAAAAAAATATCTAATATAGTGTCCTAAAAATAGGACTGTGGGAAGGAATGGGTTAAAATAAATTGATTTAACACTAACAAACAAACAAATAAATTCACATTCACATTTATGTATTCATAATATATATTATTTATTGCACTTGAACAAAAAATACAGCGATTTGTTTAACAACATATTAGCAAGGATGGGTTTATCTCTAAAAGACATCTCTTCTTTTCTTTTTTATTTATAATATTAATAGGAATAATTAACTAAATGAGATAAAAATAAATAAATTAAACAAGGTGTAGCTAGTAAGTTATAATAATCTTAATTTAGTGCAATATTAACATATGTGATTCTATATAAATTCGTGATTCATTTTGCAGTCATATTGCAAAGTGATAATATGCATAACACAGGCAAGGCTACGAGTCAATGACACGCGATAATGGACGTACATACATACAGCAATTCAAACTTAAAACTGAACGATTTTACCCTGAATACACCACTTAACGATGATGATCGTTTCATTTAATCAGAAAATCGATTGCAGCCAATTTACATATTTATTTTCATAGTGGAAAAATTTGGAAAAAAAATCATACGTGATGTAAAGCATTTTTTTTTTTATAGGTGAAAATGGTATGGTAGCCCCGCCTGCGCTAACGGGATACGCTGGCGGTGCACCAGTGAAGGGTGATAGATGAGAATGAAAACAGGCCAGTTAGCCCATCAATATGAATTCATCAGGAATTAACCATGACAGTTTCCAGGGGGAACCGCGAGGAGGTCGACCTGGTTGGGTATATTGCTAGCAATGGCAATCTCAGTCTCCATTACTAACAATCCCTTTGCCCCCGATGTAAAGCATTGGGAAAAGACCAATATATAGTGTATACTAATATCTATTATAAAGAGAAAAGATTTGATTTTTTGTTTGTTTGTTTGTAATGGATCAACTTAAAACTATTCGACCGATTTTAATAATTCTTTCGTCCATTATCATTATAATATCAGCCGCTAACAGTCCACTGCTGATCATAGGCCTCCTCCATAAGGGGGGTGTTTCCATAGTTGGCAGGCAAGTTGGCAACCGCAGATAGAATTTGGTAATATTTTAAGACGGACACTGCTGTTCATTCTTCGACAATTGAGTGCCACCCCTACGACATATACGACTAAGGGACGGTCCATTCTATGTCGAAACCACGCTGCAGCTTTAATAATCAATAAATACAGTTTATGACGATGATTAATTTGGAAACTACCCAATAAAGTGCTTATAACATCTCCTAAATCCTATTATCATTAGAAACGTGCAAATTTTTGAGGATAGATGGATGTTTGTTGCACCAGAGGGAGACTTTGTACAAAAGTCGATTGCTTGGCTAATCTATGCTTGGGCAATGAAATCTATCCATCCATTCATCTTTTTTATACAACTTAGAATGGCAAACAAGCTGACGGCCCACCTGATGGAAAGTGGTAACCGTCGCCTATAAACATGAGCAGTACTATGGATATAACAGAGTATACTGTTACGTCCATGATACCCCCCATGCGTTGCCATTCCTGAGGACTCAGATGTTATTCCTCTATACCCTGTAAATTCACGCCATATCCCACCCTTCAAACTGAAACACAGCCATGCAAACACAACTGCTTTACGGTTGAAACACGAATGGGACAGAGGTACCCAAGCTAATGACTTTTGTACAAAGTCTCACTCTTATATGCTTAAACTAAAGTAGCATTTATGTCATACAGATTTGATATTACCTGGTTATGAGATAAAACGTTACTCTACACCTTTATTATTCTTGTCCCAAAAACATATATTATTTTATCGTTTATAAATCCTTTTAGAAATGTCAAAACAGTATTTAAACGGCGAAAATGTAGGTCTTACTGAAATATTGTTACACGATTGGCTATTGCCCAATAAAAAAAGAGATTATACGGAATTATT